GATATTATTTTTATAATTATTCATATGGCATTGAAATTAAAATCTAAAAACACGTCGGTAGCTGTAATTTTACGCGCAAACAAGTGGGTGCTGCCGGATACTTTTATTGAGTATTGTGGTAAAGTACTGTAAAAACTATTAAAAATTAATATATTTTGTTATTTGACAATATCTATAAGTTTATTTAACAGCTGTAATTAGTTTTGTTCAACTTAAAAACACAATAAGTATGTTATCTTAGAGACCAGTCATTTTGACACGTATATGGTAGGTAGAAATAGGTATATACAAACGGCTGGTATATCTAGTGTTAAGTGTAGCTATTATAACCGAAATTTTAAACAAAAACACATCAAATATTTGTTTATTTCAAATTTAAATAAGATAATTAAAAATGAGCCAACAAAGCTGTTGTACGATATAGTGGGTTGTAGAAAAACTAGTAGAAAAAGGGACTGCAAATTCTATACATTTTCTACAGCTAAGTGGAAAGAAAATCAACGGGAAAAGTGGATCGTTGCGGTTAGAAGAATAAAGTAAGTATCATAACCTTATTGTTATAAAAATTCAATTCGGAGTACTATAAATAGTTGGAAAATTGTTATATTTAGCAAAAAGAAAAATTATAAGTCAATAAATTGTTATATTATCAAAATTTAATTCTTACTTCAAGACTTCCCATTTCAGCGTTTACAGGTACTTTTTGATCACTTTTGCGACGTGAGGCCGAGCATTGTCGTATTGGAGGATGACATTGTCATGTCGCTCTTGATATTGTGGCCGCTTTTCTTTTAGCGCGCGACTAAGGCGCATCAATTGCATTCGGTAGCGATCTCCTATGGTGGTTTCACCCGGTTTTAAAAGCAGTTGTTCATCTTTGAAGGTTTTTTCTCTTCCACCACCATGTTTGTCTTCGGCATCGAAATCACCATTTTGAAACCACTCCCGACACGTTCTTTCACTCAGAGCAGCATCACCGTAAGTTTCTGAAAGCATTCGATGCGCTTCAGCTGCATTTTTTTCGAATTGTAACAGAAAAGTAGAACTTCCTGCAAATGGCGAGAATTGGGCACATAAACGGACATTTTCGAGCGTGAGTAATACAAAAACAAGAACAACTGTCACTGAACCGGAGATGACAATTTGTCAGGCATTATCATATATGTAGTTCAACCAACCTCAGCCGGTACAGCCACATATCGGAAACGGCGGAAGCAAAATTGTACACCTAATAATTGTAATTTTATGATTAAAAGAAAAATAAAAGTTATCACATAGCGCTAAAATGTTTATTTTGCAAACAGTTTAATTAATACAATGCTGAAATAATGCAAAATATATATTTGTAGTGTTGATGGATCACCGCCGTGGGTTCCCAAGCCCCATGATCGCATTTGCAGTGAACATTTCATTAGAGGAAAAAAATCGGACGAGGTATTGAGTCCTATCTACTTGCCAACAATATTTCCTTCAAATTATAAACCTCGAAAAGATAATTTAGCTTTTTTTCCTGCAATTTTATTTGATGGATGATGGAATCAAATCATGTCTTTATAATAATGTCTATTGTAAGTCTTTAGTTTGACCAAAAATAAAAAATGAGTAAATTAATTTATTATTATTACTTATTCTATTGATAAAATATTTTTATCATTATTATATTGTTTTTATTAAGAACTATTCCGAGATTATGACATAAGCTTTGAGGCACTTAACCTTAAAAATGTTTATTGCATTTCTTTATTTAATTAATCATTATACTTAATTATGTTTTAAGTACGTTGAAGTAAAATTTCAATAAACATTCAGCGTTCACATTATTACTGTATCTTGTTTATTATTATTTATAACAATTATTTAATATCTTTTTTCTTTAACAAACATGTAAAACCCATGAAAACCACACACTGATAGCCACAATTAGTTCATATTAATTACGGCGCTGGAGTCACGCTCTGAGCGAATACATACGCACGGAGGTGTTGCTATTTACTGTCGGAAAGAGATAGAATGTTGCGTCGAGATTTACAACAAGCTTCCCAATGAATGGAAACTTAAAAGCACGAATTGTTTCAATGCGACTGTCAAAAAAACATCCTATAGATCAACCTATTATACAATAAATGAATTCTTTAATCTAAGTTAATTATTAATTGTCATTGGGTTAATCTTGAGTTGTTCATAAATATTATTCATAATACTATAGTTATATTATAATATTGTGATAAAAATAATAATTGTAATGATGTAAATTGTAAATATTGAATTTAAATAAAGTATCTATCTATCTATCTATCTATATATTTATATTTATATCTTATATATAAAAATGGAGCTCTCTTTCAAATGTCCGAATAAAACTCGAAAACGGCTGTATGGATTTGGCCAGTCTTAGTCTTGAAAAATTTGTGCCAATCCAGAGATTGTCCAAAAAGTGAGATAATATTTCAAATCCGCGTAGAAACTTTACATTTATAATTTGAAAATTTTTGTAGAAGCGTAGTTTAAATAAAACAATGGACGGTGGCTAACACGTGAAATGTCAAACGATTTTGACAGATGATGTTCAATTACATTTAATAGGATGTTTTACGTTAATATTATTTAATTATGATTAAATTGTGGTAAGTAGTTTTGTTTGTAGTTTTATTTATATATAAAAACGTTAGTAAACGGGGCGCAAGTGTTACCAGAAACTAAATATCAACTTTTTTGAAATGTTAATATGAAAATGCACTTTTTGGCATATTTTTCTCAAACACGATGCTCTGATAGATCTCATTTGTATAATTATATACTCATTAGTATTCATAAAACATTTTCTAGGTTATATTATTTTTTATTTAAGTTATTTAAATTCAAAACCTAAATTTGGTATCGATCAAGGGGACATTTTGCCGAATAACATTTTCCCAGTTATAATTTCGTAGAATTTATCGAAGATTAGATAGTAATATATGAAGGTCCGGGGTTAAAAAGGTCCACCAGCGATGATTAAAAACCAGTAAAGTTAAGCATTGTTTAACAACAATATTTGAAAGTAGAGGGAAAAAGATACATAACCAGCTATAACCTTGATTCTTATGACTTTGCTATCTGGAGATAAACTGTAATCTTTGAAAATTCATAATAAAAGTATTTTCTTCCATTGGCAGTTTTTTAGCATTAGTTAAAAGTGTAATTAATTTGTAAAATACCTTTAAAATTAAAATAAGACATTCAACCTGTTTGCCACCTGGCCGTTCCAAGTTAGGGTAAATGGCGTAAAAAGGTCTAGATAACAATTTTTTGAAAGACAGCAAAAAAGCACATTTCTACAATGATGAAGTAGCTGGCAGTTTTACTGAACGTAGTCAGATAATTGTTCGTTTGAAATGTGTTATTTGTGATATGATTGGTTTGCTTTTCATAATATAGTTTATATATGCTCAAAGTCAAAATGGACCTTTGTGCCTCGCCCTGCTCTGCTCTATACTTTTTATTAAATTTACTTCAATTCACGAATGTTACTTGAAACTTTTCAAAAAGAAGAAATACCTAATTCATTTTCTATCTCTCCTCGCAGAAATTAGAAAATTTTGTATTAGCTCAGTAGTATTATTTACAATTATACACAAAATCCTGAATCAAAAAAGAATCTGACAAACTTGATACGTAATCAATATGTTGAAAGACCAAAAATGACTTGGATTGGATTATACCATGTTTTCTATAGAAAGTGTATTAAACTTCCAGTTTGATTGTATTGATAAAATATAGACAAACTAATGGGGTTTATAGCATTCAAACAACACATCCGTATACACTTAAAGTATTAATATTTTTGATTCTCTAGAAATTATTTAGAATATACCTTACTTAGCAAAACAACGTTTGCCGGGTCAGCTAGTATATATATATATATATATATATATATATATATATATATATATTTGGGTTTTGAAACAATTTACTTATTTATCATGCGATTTCATGCCGAGAGAACAAAAAAACTCGCCTTTTATTTTTAAACATAACAACACTCGTATCTCATGTTGGATTTTTGTAATTTTAATTTAATTTAATTTTTCAATATTTACAATATTAAAAATTGCATCGTAAACTTTTCCTTATTGACATCGTAAGTAATCTTTACTTACCCATTAGATTCAGAGTATCAAATTGTTGTTTTAAAGTTAAATTTTTTACATATTTTAAAAGTATTGTCCAAAGATCAGTAAAAGATGCAAAGAAATTACATATTTCTTAAACTATATTGAAAGAAAAAAACTAATTATATTTGTATCTGTATTTTTTCTGCATGCATAGTTAATAATTAAATTTAGAGTATGGGCGCCACTAAGTGATTTGTTTTTCTAAAGTATATGTTGCTTGCATCTTCCATATTTGCTACATTTCCATAATTCAATTTCTTGGAACAAATAAGCCATTTTCTTATTTTCCGTTTTTCTCTACTATAATTTGTATCTATTTTTTTAACAAGTTTCGTTTCAACTAAATCAGCTCGCAATTTTTTGTCAATATACTTATACCCAATAATTTACTTAATCTTTCGCAGGTTTGCGCTTACAGGATTGAACACTAGATAATATTTTTTTCAATTCCATGTTAACTTTAAACAAAGAAAAAATTGAATAAGTAGATTAAGCAATAATCAGAGTTATTAATTGGTTAATTGTTTCTACTGATGTACACATCTCCATATACGTAGTTAAGTTAAATTGCTTATTATAATCTATTAAGTATTCTTGATTTTATATTGAAATATATTATAAATTTAATTTTCGTATCTCGTATTGGCGCTCCCTAAGGTGCGCGGCCGCATTTTTCGCATGCATTGCATTCAAGCTAAGACCGGCAAGGATATATATATATATATATATATATATATATATATATATATATATATATATATATATATAAAATGAAAATTATATATGTGAATATATTTATAGATATCATTATACAAAAAATCATTTGCAAAGCAACACATAATTTACCTTCCCATTTTCCACGGCGATAGGCAGCACAAAGGAAATATATGAAAAACTTGAGATTTGTGTCGGAGTGACTCTTCCCAGTCTGGTGTTTGCAATGTCAAGTAACTTAATAAATATCCCATAAAATTATAAATAACATATGCTTCATAACATTCTCGTACACTGTCCATATAAATTGATTGTTCAGGGAATATCAATCCAACCCACTGAAAGAATTAAATAATTTCTTTGACATGTTTTTGTTTGTGTTTAGTTTAGTAATTGCTTGTATGTTTTATTTCCACTAAAAGAGTCAAATTTGGACTGGAAATTTGGATCTTTCTATTTATGATCTGGATGTTTTTTGTTTTATAGTAATAAGTAACTATTATTTGAAATTACACTGAAGATGAGGCACACCATGGTCTTGAAACGTTTGTAATTATAAAATAAAATTGTTAAAAAAATCTGAGTGTTGCTTTGTTCATATTTAACATTTAATATATATATATATATATATATATATATATATATATATATAGATATATATATATTTTGTATGATTCTGAATTTGATGTTGACATATGTATTAACAAGTCTAGTAATCGGGCATAACATCAAAAAAAAAAATCTTTCAAAAATTTATTATAAATCCATACGTTTCGGCTATAATCCTAGCCTTCATTCAGTGGAAACTAAAAATAAAATTAAAACTAAAACAATTGAATGAAATTGAAACCAGAAAGAGGTTTCTGAGTCAGGTAAATCGTTTTGTACTGTGGAAACGATTTACCTGACTCAGAAACTCTGGTGTGATATGTTTGCCATACATTAAAGAATTGTATGTACCTTGAAAAAAACTTTTTTATAAATCTGGACTCCGACTTGTAAACAATTTTAGTGACTAGTACTATTTTTACCAAAACGAAAACCCCTTTTAATATCGAATGACTTAGAAATCTCGTCTAATAAATTAATTGTCTAGATTGTAATTTAATTTACATAGAAGAAACAAGCCAGAACTTAATGAAACGTTTACAACAACATAAAAACAATTCCAAAAACCCAAGACAGTTTAAAACTATGATAGCAGAGCATATTTATACTTTAAAACACAATATGGACTTTTCTAACCCGACTGTACTACAATTCGAACAAAATTTATTCAAACGAAGAATTATAGAAGGATCTTTTTTAACTATTTACAGCAATAAAACAATAAAAAAACGGAATGAACTTAACACGCTGTGCGACACAAACCTCTTTTATTTAGATAGTATTTCCAAATTTCTCACAAAACAATAAAAACGACGCGCAAAGGATTCGCAATTCGTTCCACACATGTGTAGAATCTTCGTAAAAAATATTTTTTAAAAAAAGTCCTTTGTCCATTATATCCTCAACCAGTCTGCAAACAACACACTATCCAATTGTGATTTTTTAAATTAGTATTTTGTGAAAATATTGTGTAATTACAAGTTTAATATTTATAATGCATAGTGTAGTGCATTACCATATCTTGATACCATGGATTACTAAAATTTTCCAATTTAACACTAAGATTAACTAATTGTAAGTACTATTTACTATTTTCTTTTTTCTTTTCACTCCAATTCAATTGTTTTAGTTTTAATTTTATATTTAGTTTCCACTGAATGAAGGCTAAGATTATAGCCGAAACGTATGGATTGAAAATAAATTTTTGAAAGAATTCATGTTTTTTATTGATGTTATACCCGATTACCAGACTTGTTAATATATATATATATATATATATATATATATATATATATATATATATATATATTTTTTTTTTATTATATAATTTTGATGTTGAAATATGTGATATTCAGTTTTCAGGGCAATACATCAATTAAAAAATTTGTATGACTTTAAAACATTTTTATTTATTCCATACGTTTCGACACATTGTTTTGTGTCATCTTCAGTGGACTCTAGATTGATAGAACAGATAGAAATTATTAATTAAAACTAATATATAAGAAGTGATATGGTATGAACTTACATGTAATTGAATTAATCCTAATTATTTCATATTATAGATGTTCACAATGCACAATCCTAATTATTTCATATTATAAATGTTCACAATGCACAATCCTAATTATTTCATATTATAAATGTTCACAGTGCACTAAAAAACCAATCCTTGTCATTTTAAGTTGAACAATATATAAATTTTTGACAGATTATTATGAATTTGTGAAGTACATCACGCCGTACATTTCTGTGCTCCGATGTACGGGTGACGACTGAATGTACGTCAATGTGCGAACCACGTGTTATCCTCCACACCTTATAAAATCAGTAATTAACAACAGACTTTCCGCCCTTAACACAAAACATAATCATCCTTCCCTCGAGTCCCAGAAAAAAGAAGAAAATAAGTTTGTTGGCACTATTTGTCTCCCTTACATTAAAAATCTCTTTCCTATTTGGAAAAAACTATTTGAATTCGCGGATTTGCGTTTAGTTTGCAATATTGATCAGACTCTCAACTTTTTATTTTCGAACTTAAAATCACCGACAAGTTTAGATCGTATTTCTAACATCGTGTATAAAATTGACTGTACAAATTGTGAGGCCACTTATATTGGCGAAACTGGACAACATCTAAAAAAACGTCTTAGACAACATTATAACAATTCCAAAAATAAAAATCAAAATCAAACAATGATAACTGACCACATACAAAGTTTCAATCATATATTCAATTTTGATGTGGCCACAATTTTATATCACGAATCGAATACATCTCAGAGACGCTTTTCAGAATCTTGTCTGATACACCTTTACAAAAATAGTTTAAACAAAAGATTGGATACTTCCTCACTGTGCGAGAATTACCAAGTAGTCTTAAACAATGTCTCGAAATTCATACCTTTAAAATAGTTACCTATCATGATCGACGTTTAATTATATTAATTTTAATGCCAATTTTTCTTTTTCTTTTTCTTTTAATTTTGATCTCAATTTTACTAATTATGTCCACCCTCACAATTGTCATGTTTTTATATTTCACTATTGTACCCTCTCGCGTTGTCAAATCTTAAATTCTTTGGTCAGTTCGTTTGCCTTGTACCTTAGCCCTCAACACGTGGTTCGCACATTGACGTACATTCAGTCGTCACCCGTACATCGGAGCACAGAAATGTACGGCGTGATGTACTTCACAAATTCATAAAAATCTCAGTCAAAAATTTATATATTGTTCAACTTAAAATGACAAGGATTGGTTTTTTAGTGCACTGTGAACATTTATAATATGAAATAATAAGGATTGTGCATTGTGAACATTTATAATATGAAATAATTAGGATTGTGCATTGTGAACATCTATAATATGAAATAATTAGGATTAATTCAATTACATGTAAGTTCATACCATATCACTTCTTATATATTAGTTTTAATTAATAATTTCTATCTGTTCTTTCAATCTAGAGTCCACTGAAGATGACACAAAACAATGTGTCGAAACGTATGGAATAAATAAAAATGTTTTAAAGTCATACAAATTTTTTAATTGATGTATTGCCCTGAAAACTGAATATCATATATATATATATATATATATATATATATATATATATATATATATATATATATAATAAAGTTCTATTTGCTTAGACACTACGGGTATTTTGAAGTAGCTAAATTCTAAACAAACTATGGAAGATAATTAGCACTTAACAAATGTCATGAATAAATTATATTACTTACTGCATTAATTACATAAATGGGCACCATCCACAATATTCTGAAACATACAAAAATATTCATAATGGTTAAAAAATGTTTTATATTTTATTATTATTAAGTAAGTAGTCTAAAATAATTTGATAGTTATATATCAGCTTCAAAATTATAATATAAACATTATATACGCTATAGAATGTATATAAAAACAAATATACATTATGAATAAATAACTATACCTTATTATATGCTTTTGCAAACATGGTTGGGTGTAATGTACAATATGTTGTGCAATTTGCCATATTGATATCGGTAGTGCCATGATAACGAAGACCCCAGCAAGAAAAACTTCCTGGTTTCTCTTAATGAATCCATTATGAATACAATTTATTATTAACAAAGGCACTAATATAATTATTATTAAGAAGTAAGCAGTGACAATAACTGGCCTTATCCACAACCGCCACCTTAGAAGGACTAAGCCACAAGGAACTCTACCGCACATGTTTCAAATGTACTGTCATGATATCTTTCGTAAAGGTAAGTACTATTATAAAGACTCTTATTGTTTCCAATTGCTCTTTCTAATTTATAGGTTATCTGATATGCGTCCTTGTGTATATGTCAAACTATTATTCAGCCCATAGAATTTGAATAAAAACCTAAATAGAGTAGAATATTACGCCATAAACCGTAAACATCATTGACATCTGGTGGTTTGTCAGGTATACAATTGCCGCTAAGTACAAATTTTGAATCAAAGTATCATATCGATGTGCCCGAATTTAAATGTAACCGGATAGTAAACTTGGTGTTGGTATATATTAAAACTAGCTGTAAGTGGAATTCTGTTTTGAGGCAATTATGGCATCGTGCCTTAAGACAAATTGCTGGAACTTCCCGTACCGTAACGAAATGTTTGAGGAATACTGAATGTTTTCAAATAGATTATTATAAATATTGTAACATTGTCTAATATTTATGAGAATTATATAAACTGAATTGCAGAGTTGAAATTATTTGTAAAGTATATTAGAACTATAGTCAGAATTAAAAATAAAATCTGAAATATTTTCGATATACAAAAAACTAAAAAACTAAAAAAAAAAAAAAAAATGGAATTTTTTTTTTCCAAAATCAATTATTTTGTTAAGACAAGCAGAAAGTTTTTTGAATCGTTTCAATCGGACCCTTAGTTCTCTCAAAAACTGCCATTTTTTACATATTTAGCTCCGTATCTTCGAAATGGCTAGGCCTGCCTTTGCCAAAAACTAATAAGCACTTCTCCCAATCATTACTAATTGAATGTTTTTTAGATCATTCAAATCAGATACTCCGTTCTCTCAAAAATTCGATTTCTATTTTTTGCACTCTTTGCTCCGTATCTCCGAAACGGCTGGACCTGCCTTTGCCAAAAACTAATCAGCTCTTTTCCCTATTAATAAAAATCGAATGTTTTTTAAACCATTCAAATCGGTTGATCCGTGCGCCCTAAAACGTGACTGGAAATTTGTATCCATACATACATACACACACACACACACATACACACACACACACACACATCCATTTTTTCTGAGGTATGCCAAAACGTTCAGAAACCTTCAAAACGTCGAGAAATGTTAAAATTTTCAATTCCGATTTTCGGCCCATTACAATAACTTACCCTACGGGAAGTTAACTAGTGGGGCACATGGCATCGTGCCTTAAGGCAAATTGCTGGAGCTTTCCATAGCAAAAATTTTTTTTTAAAAAAAGATTACATTTTTGAGAAAAATTTACTCTGAAGAAATTAGATTTTTGAGAAACTATACATTTTTGATAAAAATTTACTTTTCTTTGAAAAAAAAAGACTTTTTGAAAAAAAAATTATTTTGAAATATTTTGAAAATTCTGAACTTTTTTCAAAGCAATCGTACTGCTTTTACTGCATATAGACGAAATATCGAAGCGCGTAAGCGCCGCGTTGCCGGCTCATGGATAAACATTGGTACGGAACCCATAAAAATGTAAACAAAATTTATACTTATTATTAAAATCTTTATAAAATATCTAATAATTTAATGTGCATATGTCTAATGATCGTTTTTGACCGCCAAATGGCATTTTTTTTACTTTTTTTACTCGATCTCCGAAACCGCTAGACCTGCCTTCACGAAAATTTGATCAGTTCTTCATCTTGTTAATACAAGTAAAATGTTTTTTGAATTTTTAAAATCGGACGCTCCGTTCTCTTAAAAACCGTGTCGCCGTTTTTGGCACTTTTTGCCCCGTATCTTCGAAACGGCTACACCTGTTCCGTCAAAAACTAATCAGCACGTCTCCTTATCAGTACGAATCGAATGTTTTTTTAATTATTTAAATCGGTTGATCGGTGTACCCGAAATCGTCGACGAAAATTTGTATCCGCACACACATACGAGTACACACGCACATACACATACATCCATTTTTTTCTAAAATATGCCAAAATATTCAAAAATCTTTGAAACGTAAAGATATATAAAAATTTTCATTTTCGACTTTTTTGCGATTACTATAACTTGCCCTAAGGGAAGTTAACAAGTGTGTTGAGTCAAAAGACTGACAAAGTACTCATTTTAAAGCTTATTTTAAGAACTATGAAACCCCATTTTCATGTCTAGCTTAATATTCTTCCTAGAACACTTTATAAAACATCGATTTATAAAGATTATATTTAATATAATTTTGTTCATTACTTGATTTTCGTTAAAATGTATATTATTGTAGATATTTGCAGAAAAACGTCAGAAAGAAACGAATTTCGATTAGCCAGTAACTTGAAAAGCATTTGCATTTTTAAAAAACATGAAACATTTTTTTCTTATAGTTAGTTCTTCTATCTTTGACGTTATTTTGAAAAAATAAAACTACACTACTGAGAAGGATTGTCATAGCCCCGGGGGGCGGCGGCGGCGTATAAATTATTTTCACTTTTAAACTTGAGAGTACGATTAACCTTATTCCAAAATTTCATTCAAATTGGAGCACAGTAAAAAAATTCAAACCCAAAACGCTCCATCGACTGGAGTAACTATTCCTATTTTTTTAATAGGAAAACTCAACATGCATTAGTTAAAAATGATAATCTGTCAAACTGAATTATATAATTTTATCTTTAAAAAAATACACTGTATCTTATATTATTTTAATTTCTGGCATATCGAGACATTTCTTGTGCCTTATTCATAATCATGAATTTATTAAACATATTCTAATATTGTCTAGGGTCTAGATAATATTATAAGTAAATTGAAAATGTTGGCAGATGACAATTTTCATTTGTTTTCAGTGCCAAACAATGCCTCCAAAATGTTTAATGTCAAACAATCTCTTGTATTTTTTTGTATTTTTTCCCATTTATTTCAACAATCTAACCTGCTTATTTATCACATGTTTATTTATCTATGAATCTAACTATATTTCTATAATCACAAAATCCTAGAAAATTATTTTAATAAATTAGGAGGAGTATCCGTTCATACATCATTACAAAAGAATTTTATATTATACTAGCATACCCAGCCTTGCGTTGCAACGGCCCTTATTAAAATTCATCTGATTGAAATTTGAATCCGTTTGACAACCAAATTTCAAACCTTTTGTTATAAAAAATTCATGTCAATTCAAAAATAAATAAAATCCGGATTGAAGTTTGAATATGATGGATCGATACTATTGATTAAAGTTTTTTTTTAAACTTAAATAATAAATAAACTGAAATAATTAAACATTTGAATAAATGAGTACATTACAAAATGTATAATGAATAACCAAGCGATTTTTATAAATTTGTTATATCTTATTTGGTATTACGTCTTATTTACCTTTAGCTAACATTTTAACATGTTCTACGATGCTTTATTTAGGAATGGTTTCACATACTATTGGAAACTTGCTATAAGCCTTTAATATTTTCTTTGAAAATTTTCCATAAATTTATGATTAGACACTCATCGTTTTCAATGCATTTTTTTAAATTTGTTATTACTTACGAAACACATAATATAAATTTCCGACTATAAATTCACATTCATACTATCCCTGAAACTAACATGGATCAAGTTCTGAGAAATTCGAGTCCAAATCTGATTGAGTTTGATTTTTGGCACTTTGAAATTTAATATGATATGATATAATATTCAGTTTTCAATCATGATTTATATTAATTTTGTGATGTTTACCTGAATGAACAACTTAAGCAAATTAAATCTTAATCATAAATCAATTTATTCATAAATTTCCCGGAATATTAACAAACGTCATTTGCGGCATTTGTTTTGAATTCGTAACCGCCCAAATTTATTTAAATTTGATAAATTTTATTATTTTGTATCTTAAATGTGATTTGTAGTATTGCCTATAATATAAGTTAGAATAATTAATGTATTTGTTCCTATTTGAATTCGTTAAAAACATTAATTCTTTTGACCTGTCAAAATTTTGTTTATGATTAAAGTTAAATTTAATATGTCGCTTTTTTATTCTGATCTAAATATTATGTTTTGAGGACGTGTTAGTATGCGAACTAATATGTTAAGCAAACCAATTAAATATAAATTATAAATTTATTCATCTAATACTTTCCATAGATATTGATAAATGACATTTAACTTTTTTTTTAGTATAACTATCAAAATTTATTTAAATCTATAAACATTATATATTTCTATTATTTTGAATATAGCATTTTGCCTAATTTGGATATAGCTGTTGGATATATTATAATATATCTGTTCTTTTTCAATTAGTAAAAATAATATATTTTTAGAATTGTCATTTTTTTTTCAAAAATCATAAATCGTTTTTTCTCGAAGTTTCCATAAATATTGACATTTGTCATTTTAGTGTTTTGTCTTTTTTTAGTAAATTTCTGTCAAAATTTATGGAAATTTATAAAAAATATAAAACTAAATAAATATATCCTTCTTGGTCGAAATTTAATATAATATATTTTTCAATAATGTATCTACAATATTGCCTATAACAAAACTTGGAATAATTAATGTATTTGTTTCTTATTGAAGTCGTTAAAAATTGAATTTTTCTTGACTGTCAAAATTTTGTTTATTATTAATGTTAAATTTAATATGTCGCTTTTTTGTGATCTATAATGTTTTGAAGAAGTTTTGGTATCGGAACTAATTTCGTAAGCAAATCAAATAAATATAAATTATAAATCTATTTATCTAATAATTTTTATAAAAATTGACAAATGTCATTTCACATTTTTTTTATGTCAACTTTTATTTAAAATTATAAACATTGATTTTTAATTAGATTTAAAACTATAAACAGTGATTTTGAATATAGCATTGCATCTAATTTGGATATAAATGTTGGATATACCTATAATATGTATGTTTTTGAATTATATTTGTTGTCAAATTTTTTTTTCCACAAACGTTAATCTTTTTTTCTCGAATTTTCCATAAATTTTGACATTTGTCATTTTAGTGTTTTGTTTTTTTTGGTCATTTTCTGTCAAAATTTTTTGAAATTTATAAAAATTATGTATTTATATTTTAAATTTACTTTTCAAAATTTCCTATAACCTAAGTTGGATATAT